AGTAAGCTGTTAGGTTCATTCAACCACACTGTGGAACTGCACCTTTCCTCAACTGCTCCAGGCTGTGTGTGACTTGGGGAATAGAGCCCAAAATATTAAACTCAGTAGTGATGATTATAAAGTAAACTGGAAACTGAAGCAGGAAGTTGTCTGTATCCTTCCTAATCTGCAACACCTGAGCCCGTGCCTCTAGGTAGTTCCGTGCCTGCTAAATTATGTAAACTGTATCCCGCCGTGTGAAACCCCATTATTCTTATCCAGAGAGTACATCTAACGTTCTGCTTTCGTTTATCTGTCGTAAAACCACATTCTTATGTCCCTATGCATTATGGACGATCTCGTGGCAAGAAACCCCCATTGCATTTCTGCAGACAACCATTACAAACTCGGCATTGAAATGAGGCTTCCTGGGTCTCCCAGAATTCTCCTCTGAGTCTTTGCTGTTGGTTGCAAATTTATGTCAGAGTTGAGGAGTAGATTTCTTCTTAACATCATCAAAACTTCACCGTGGCACCCAAACATCCATTTCCCTTGCCTTCATACAGCTGCATCCAAAACAGTACATATTGCACTGGTAGATTAAAACTGGTCAGGTGATGTACTATCACCCCACGTTGTCTGCTCCTGATTTCAGTGCACAAGGTGTTGAGATAGTTTTCAATCCAGTGTATATCAGCCTATGATGGTAAACAGATTCATGAGTGTCTCAGCTGTCCTTGCTTGAAGGATTGTACTGTTTATGAAAGAGAGGTGGCAAGCCTGTGAGGCAGTGACACTTGCATTTCCTGGCAAGCATGTGGCAAAATGCAGGTGCTGAGATGGTATTAAGTATTTGAGGAGGTTGTAATATTTCTGGAGTAGCATAAACAAAAGTTTAATAGTTTCCACTGGCAGGAGAGTCAAGAAAGATGGGAATGGAGAAAATCCTCCTGAACTTATCTAAAATAAATCATAAGGAACCGTATGAGTTTGTTTTTTTTGGTATGGAGGATCCCAGTGAAACTAGGACATTCTGTTCTCAGTTCTTAATTATGGTTCAGTGTAACTTCTCTAGACGAATCAGGAAGACAGAGGGTATCATTGATGGGCAGCACTTTGAAAACATCTTAGGTGGCAAAGAGAGATTTGGTATGTGCCGAACCGATACCAGTATAGCAGGTGTGTATGAATATAAGACAAGGATCAGCTTTATTAAAATCAGGGGTAGTGTTTAAAGGGTAAAAAGTGAAAACGTGGTAGGAAATCACGTCCAGGCAGCTTTGGGTAGGGACAAAAGCAAATGAAAGCTCAGGGGGGAAGAAGAGTAGACAATAGGAGCAGATGTTAAGGCTGAGTTTCGAAATCTGATATGGAATGTGTGTATTCAATATGACATAGATACCACGTTTTTGTGCAAAGAGTAGGAACTTGTATTTTTGGAGTATCTGCTAGGCCTCCTTTCTCCTTCTTACTCTCCCTTCTGGAATCTCCTTCAAAGTAGTTAAGTAGTGACAGATTTTTTCAAACTCTTTTGATAATCTTAAAGTGGATTCACAAGCAAAGAATGACCAAAATCTGAACCATGTATTTTGATTATGTGCTTGCACAGGGAAGTAGAAAATGTAATGTAGAATCATATACAGAGCAAGGAGAATGTAAGGTACTTGAAAGAGTAAAAAGGTTAGAGCGTTTGTTTTATGCTGTGCTGATAAGGCAAATGCAACGCTATATGTTATCATTTGTTGTGTTTCTTCAAGGGAAGAAATAAAAATACTCAGTTTTGTTTGAGATAGTGATGTTAATCTGAGTTGTGCCATGGAAACCGAAGGTTTACCCAGCTGATGGTTGGTCTTATTGTAATAGTTTCGATTGTGACTGAATATGATATGTACAGAAGGTTAAGTGTGAGTATGTTTAAAAAGAAAACAAAACAAAAACCCAAAAACCAAAATGATGGAGGTAAAAGTTATAGGCTTGAACCAGCGCAGAGAAATCTTTGATCCAAAAAAATACTTGAACGAGCTATAAAACTTGGCCAAGAATGGGTTAGAAGATGCAGTGCTCTTTCTTGTAGCAAGATAAGCGGTGAGTGGAGCTGCAGTTTGAGAGGTCAGTGAGAGGTCTCTGTAGTGAAACATTTGAAGAAAGATTAGATAATGAAGGGGAGAGATAGTTTAACCTGTCCTATGTTAAGGGGCTTTCACTTAATGATCTGTGGGGGCCTCTCAGCTCCTGAGATTAGAGGACAGATTGTGCTCATTCTCATCTCATCTTTGCATAAACTGAGACTGAAAGGCTTCAAGCTAGCAATCATCTAATTAAAAATAATACTCTAATCTTTCCTGCGTTTTCTCATCTTTGCTAGTTTCAGGAGAGAGGCAATTCCAAAATTTGGTAAACTTTTTTAATTATTTCACTTTTTTTTAAATAGCTGAGGAGGAGGCTGTCTCCTGGTATGCGCAAAAGTATGTTGAGGATAGCAATTAATCATATCTTTATTTTCACTGTCACCAGCTTGCTGCAGGCTAGTTCAATTTATTGACAATGCTAACGTCTTATTTATATTTCTAATTCTTACGCTGTCACAGAGGTTAAGAAACCTTTTCAGTTGTCAAAACCTCAAACATCTTGTGAGTCCAGCCGCAGTCTTGAACATCTGTGTGTACTGAGTTGTTTTATTATAGCAGTGGGGTGACACTGTTAACATGAAACAATTCTCTGTTGCTAGAAAATCTTACGACTTTTGTAGCTGTTTTCACTAAAATAGCTTATGATAAAATTTTACCTTAAGGAAATCAAGAGATATGATTCACTAAAACAGTGGCTAATGTCTCAAGTTTGTAGTTTGATGCAGTTACAATAAGGAATGCTATTTCGCATAGAAAGAATTAACATTTTTATTTAAATTAAAAAAAAAATTGAGTCAAGGAAGAAAAGTTGAATTCTTTTCTCTGCTTAATCTCCAGAAATGTACCTGCAAGATACTATAGCAAGTCGTCTTTAAAATATAAAGTGAAGGGAGATTGTTATTTTATTATGGGTTTTTGTTTGCTTCCAGATAAAGCAAAGAGATTTGAGCATTATCTGTTTCAAGTTTTGACTCGCGACTGACTGACTTATCTTTCTGTTTGATCAGCATGGCTGTTAGTTCACGGGAGTGAAATCAGTAATGCAGGTTGACCTGTGTTTGTAGAAAGCCAGTCCTGACATTACACAGCCACTGACATATATGGATTTTGAAGTGTGGTACTCACTAGCTGTGGGGCCTTAAATGCAGTACAGGATATTACTGGATAAGCAACGTTTTACAGGTACAGCATTACAAAATAAGTAATAAAAATGTTCTTACTTTGTAATGAAATAGAACTTGCCATGATTCCTTCTGGTGTTAAGATTTTTCACTTTGCTTGAAAGAAGGTGTTGTGGGTGGGCTATATTGGTAGAAATTAGTTCTGTAATATATGATCTCTTTTTATAAGACCTGACTCTGTATTCATATAATTTGGCTTGTGATTTGTTGGCAACTGTTTGCAAACAATTATCTGTAGTAATTGAAGGAAAAGTATCTGCTTTATATGGTTTTCTTTTATGTATTAATAGATTCATCTTTCTTCCTTTCTCAGATTTCCATTCTGGATGCGAAAAGAAGTATGAATATTGGGATATTTCTCAAACAATTCAAAAAGTAAGATTTGACCTTGCCATACAACTAATGCAAGCTACAGATGTGATGTGTAATTCTCTTTACTTCTCATCAAGTGTGTTGTATATTGTGCTCTGTTCCTTATGGATTTTATAATTCTGTACAAGTCTGTCATAAGTAACCACATTTCGTAATTTGTTTTCTAGTACATTTAGTTTTGAGTGCCATTATGCCTTAGGACCAAGTATTCAAAGTTTGCTACTGTTAACCAGTTGAAGTGAGTTCTCAGGTGCAGTTAAAGGAAGCCCTTATTATCTCATGAAATACTGCATAAGAATTGCTTTTTATTGGCTTCCTCTCTGTATAAAGAATTGATAGAAGGAAGTGAGGTGAGGGGTGTGTTGTTGGTGGTTTTTTTTTTTTTTTTTTAAGAGCAAGTTGTTTCACTGCTATCTTTATTCACTGATAGTGTTACCCTTTAGTAAAGGCATCTCTGAAAGTGGTGTTAAAATAAAGCTGCTGTGGATACTGACACAGACCTCATTATAATTCCTTTAAGCAGTACCGGCATGATTTTTTTCAATTTGTGCAACTGCATCTATTCACCCTGCAAGTGTTAGAAATTTGTATGCTCAATTGTTTTTTCAAGGTCTGCTGAATCCATCATTGAAGATATTTATCATGGAAGAAGTGAGCCCTATGGTTCTGAATTGCTGCATGAATTTCTTAAATTATTACCAGAAGCAGAGGAGGTAAATAATGGTTTTACATGGAGCTTATTTTTGTGCAGTTCTTCTACCTGGGATTCCAGGGTGAGGGTATGTAAACAAGGAATCTCAAAGCCTTTCTGAGGTCAGGGGATAGGAAACCACTGAGTGCAAAGGTGTAACCTTCATTTTACATGTGGTATTCAGGTTGAAGTGTAATCATTCCTTCACACCAAGTAATTTCACTTATTTTTAAGGTGCTTTTTGATGAAAGCACTGATGAGGTGTTTCTGTTTCTTTGATGACCTTTGTGAGCTTTTGTCCCATAAACATTTCACCAAGAATTGGAACCCTCCTGGGTGCTGTGCAGATAACTCTGCACTGGGTGTCAAAAAACTCAAAGTTGAAGTACATACTAATGCAATCAGATCAAGTTTCACTTCTTTGGCACCTGACTCATACTTCCCCAATGCAGTGCCTGCAAGATGAGTATTGGCAGCCCTATGTTTCTGCCTCTTGCCTGTTCTGGTTTGCTACCTGCCTCACCGCATCTATGATCTGCCTGCACCTCGGCCCAAGTTGTTGGGTTCTAACAGGACAGAAAGGTTGTGTCACTGTGCAGCACCCGTGGAAATTATTAAAGTGCCTCAGCGCTCCAAGAGAGACCTGTTAGAAGGCACAGTTGCCAGCAGCACCTTTTGCCATGTCCTGTGCCCATCATGCGATCAGCATGCAAGTACAGCTTTTCCCCCCCTAGTCCCACCTTGCAAGCCCATTCAGATGATTATATAGGTGAAACTTCAAAGATTGGGTTGGGAGTCCTGCTTAATGGTGCAAAGTTCCATATCTGCTGGTGTATTTGCACTGACCCATTTGTATGCAGTTAAAGAAATGCATACCACAGACTTGACATAATTAGCATTAGAATTGCTTGAGTGCTTCACATCAAAGTAGTGGCTGAAACCTGGGAAATTGCTAGTTAACATACGCATATAGATCAACCTTAACTCACATGCTTTACCACTTCAAGGTCATACTGTCCAAGCGCTCTGTTTCCTCTGTGCAGCAGCAAATCTTAAATCCAGTGTGCAGCCAACAGCAAAACACGTGTCCTATTATTTTGCTGTCAAACATATAACCCTACACTGGGCTACTTTTGCAGGGACTCTTGTAAGAATTATTGTTATGTTACTGTGTCCTGTTGATACGGTTTTTAGAATTAGAGGATATCAACAATTTGAAATGTAATTAAAAATTAAAAAAAAAAAAAAAAAGCCCACAAAGTTTAAAGTGGTTTTAGGTGTACAAACTATTTCCCCCCTCTTTTTTTTTTTTTTTTTAACTTTGATAAGTTCCATTTAAATATAGGAATACATATCTCCTTCCTCTGAAAGAATTAGAGGAAAACAGTGGAAGTACTAGCTTAAGAGAAATGGATTCCTGGTTAATTTTGTGTATACTGAGCATTCAGAAAAGACTGAAAAAAGGTATTTTTCTTCTTTCTAGTTTAGATTTTTGATGCTGTTTTAACATAAGTAGGAAAAACTTTAAAATATGATACTCCCCTGTGCAATATAAATGTTAGAAATGTTAGATAGAATTCTAACATAAGTTGCTGAATTTTATCTTTTGGAGCATGACAGTAGTGAAAATGTATCCTTCTGCTAGCTATTAGTAGGTAGTGCATGGTTTCTAAATCCACAAGAGATTGTCTGGAATACTTTGCTGGGCACTTTATATGCCCAGTTTGTGCTGCTTACAAGTGAAGAAGCGTGTTTATTTCTGACCAGTAGGTGATTTGACAACAGGCCTACCCCTCAAGATAATGGGACAAAGCGCTTAAGAAGTGTTTTTAAGGAGTTAGTAGAGAAATTAATCTGAGAGATCTTATGGAGGAGAGCACTGGGGGGATATGAGGCTCTAATTGTTAGATTTGTTGCTATTCCCATGGGAGGCTGGAAAGAGGCTCGTTTCCTTTGTGCGAATATTTGTGCTGTATGTAATTAGTTCCATGCCTCAGACATCTCATTTCTCACCTTCAGGAAAAGGAAAGATCCCCTTCTCTTTTTTTTTTTTTTTTGTCCTCATAATTTTTTTACTCCTTGGGAGCGAAGCCCTGGGAAGTAGCACAACGAGAGCTGGGACGGGGTGGCAGGGGGTTGAGAGTGATGGACTAATGCTTCTGCTGCTGTGGGAAAATGTTCAGTGCCTTCATGTCCTCATGCTTCAAGCACTCAAAGAATAAGTGGATCAAGTAACTCATTTACTGCTGTTGCTCCTAAAATTTTAGTGTAGTCAGTTAAACAATTTCTTCTCTGTAGGATTCTCAGAGCTTTTGTTGTTTGTGTGTCTCAGCATTCTTCCCTGAATGTAAGTTCATTGTTCCCCTTTTATGTCCCCTTCTCTTTTTGCTATTTTATTAGCTGCTTCCTAGTCTGAGTACCTATTTCCCAGAATACTGATTCATGTTTTGTTAAGGGGAGGACATCGAAACTGTACAGTTCCTGTCCTCATGGAAATAATCTAAAATCACCAGAGATACCAGATGAAGAGCAAGGTTACTTGTTCTGATGTGCCCTATTCTGCTTAATAGCTCCCAATTTCTTTTTGTTCTGATGATCATACTGTGTGACAGAGCTTTGGAAAGGTGTTGCCTTTGGAAAGGCGACCAGCATCATCCTGCTGCTGGCCTGTCCCTGCACAGTGTTCCACCCGTTCTCAACAAGGGATTTCTATGGAGAGCTGTCCTCTGCAGATACTTTATGTTCTTTGTATAGACCTGCTTAGCTGCTGTAGGTGTTCAGAAAAACCCTGGCTAGAGACTTAAGCAGTCAGATCCTAAAATGATCATTGCTACTCAGGTACCAGTTCTGTTTGTCCTGATGTAACTGTGGGTGGGCTTCTGCATTTCCCCTTTGTATACTCTTCATTTTAGCGGCTCAGCTATTTACAATCACATTTCCCAGTTGTCTTGCAAGTTGGAGTGAGGGCCTCCCATCAGATAAGTGCTCCAGTAGCTGTGTGTTTGGAGATGTCTTCTGCTTTTTCCTTCACGTGGAAGTCTGGAAAAGTAAAAGGATGGAGGGAGGACCACCATTGCTGGTCATAGCAGTAGACAGAGGGACTCTGGACTGTCACGTTTCTTCATTTTGACCAACAGTCTTTACAGTTTATCTAGTGTGAATAAACACTGGCTTTATACTCTAATCTTATCATGTTCTAGAAGTGTGGTGATATATAGCCACATTACCTCAATGTTCCCTTAGTCGCCAGTTTGACGTATGTGACACATTTTACATCATTTCAGGTCGTGTTATTTCAAATGGATATTATCTCAAAATGGATGTTTCAGCGTCTTTGAGATGGAACGGCTTTTTGACAAAGGAAGCTAAATGATCAGGCTGACAAATTGAGCATCTTTAAAATTGTTCTTTCTTTTTGCAGTATTATATTGTGGCAGCTTTATTCACATGCAGAAATAGGTGTCAGTGCTAAGAATTTTCTAGCTGGTAACTGAAAGCTGTTGGGATGCCTGTGCATAAATGGCAAATACTGGCACTTTGCTGGATGATTTTGACAAACTGTAAATAAGAGCATTATTGAAATATTGGCACTGTTGTAAAGTTTTTTGTCAAACTGTGAACGTTTGAGTATTTTCAAATGTTTAATTTGAAAACTGTTAAGTTTTTGAAGCTGGCAAACCTGGAACTGGCTGCAAGGTTCCACACCATGTTTTGTTCAGGACTGTGGGTGTGGTACCAGGGTAACTACAGCGGTAGAAAGGTCCAAGAAAAAGTATAAAAATGTCTTGATATGTTCGAAAAGTAAGATCACTAATTTTGTGTAAGCTTTCTTTACAAGTATTGCTGTTTGTGCCTTACTAAGAATAGCAGTTTTGTAGGAGGTTGAAATACCTCTTTGGAATCTCAGCTCATTTTTTGTCCAGGGAACCTTTGTCTTGACTGAAGCAATGGTCTTCTCTGCTGTATTGCTTCTGAAAAGATTCCTAGCTACATCTCTTAACTATGCCCTGTTAAAATGTCTGACAGCTGTGATTCCTGGCATCCTGACCAAAGCAGAGGAGACTCTTTTAGCTGCTTTTATGTGCACATCATTGCACTGTTCATGTAGAATAGCCAGAATTTGTACTTTAAGTATTTACAGAAGAAAGCATATCATACTGCTAATCGACTCACCCACATATATGCATGCCCAGGTTATCAGCCTATCATCTTACCTCCTTTATAGTGTCTCAGGCCTATCCTTTGCTCTTGTACTGTTTTAAAACTCAATCATCTTTCCCCTGCTTTACTGGAATTGTTTCCGTCTGTCAGCTTTATGCTTTTCAAACCGCTTTGTTATGTATTACTGTCCCCTCCTTTCCTCCTCCAGTGCTGTATATGGCTGACTATCCTTCATAGCTTTCATCTCCTGCTTCCTTTTTCACTGCTTATGTTAGCAACATTTTTTTTCCTCCTTTTCCTCTTATCTGCTGAGGGAGGATTGCTGCTCCCCAGGCATGTGCCCCATGGTGTCTCCATACCTAATACATTAGTTGCTTTCCCCTGAGCCCTTGTATTGGAATGCCGCTGTGATGCATTTGGGGGGTTTGATATTTTTCACTTGGGTTTTTCTTTAGTACCCTGAATGTTTGCAATGGTATGGAAATACAAAAAACAGAGAATGTTTACTCTTCTGGACTACTGCACTTGGCTGTACTTATTTATTTGTAATGAGGGATTATTTGATTTGAATGTGGGGAAATACCCTGTTACAGGCCCATATGAGGATGAGCGGTATAGTGATTTACATTCTCCTTCAGAGATCCTGGATTTCCATTTAGGAGTGCGACATCTCTCTTTTATGCCATAAAGTGAAATCTAACTACTTGTAAAAAAGTGCTACTGGTAGCTTGAAGATAGACAAGAAACCGAGTGGTAGGAATGTAGTCACTTTCCTGTCTGTGAGGAAAAAATGATATATTTACAATAGGCATGTCTACTCCAGTTGTTCACAAATCAAATAAAAGATCAGGCTTTCTCTATTTCATGACTGTTTTTAAAATGGAACCGAATTACCTGTGTGAGAACCTCTTGAATCTAAAATCTGGTTTTGTGTGCATGGGCATGCATGGACATTGCAGATACATATGCCATATACAAATATAATGAAAAATTATATTAGTAGCTCTGTGCCCAATTTGAGTAATACAGAACTGAGCCTACAATGTAATTTTGCTCCCTTGCATGTCTTGTTACGTGATTGTATACTGTTGTGGAAAATTATTTTGTTGCGCCTGGAAAGAGGCGGTTGAGGGCAGTTACTCATTGTGTTTTACAAATAAACCACATTTTTTAGTTCTTTTGTGTTCTCAAATACTTATAAACCTATCAGCTATATCTATTCACATGATTAATAGTGAACTTTGACAATCTCCATAGTTTCTTAGCAGTTCTTAGTAGCTGTGTTTGTTTTTTTAGTTAGATTCTTAGTTATAGAAGCTACGGGGAAATCTCAGTCCTCTTTGGGGAGCATTAGACGGTGTGGCTGCAGAGAGAAGAGGCCGACCTGATGGGCGTTTGAGTAGCCTCAACGCAGAGGAGCAGCTATCCAGATGTGGTTGAGGAATTCTTAGCTTTGGGGTTCAGAAGCTGATATTTCAATTTACAGGTAGTGTGAGTTAAGTCATATAACTTTTCTTTTCCTGCTTCATGATGGGATGACTGGTCTTTTTCAATTATGAAATTTGTAATAAAGAGGGAATATATAGCAAACTGTTATCATAGCTCTACCTGAGCTGTTCCTCAGACTATTTACAATTTTAAGATCAAGTTAGTAGGAGATTCAGTCTCTGATCTGAAAGACTTAGCCTGATTCTCCGTATATGTCTATGCAGTACTGGATTAAAGGATGAAAGGACCTTATAAATTCTGTGTTTGTTCTGTGTGTTTGTGGCGTGGGTCACTATCATCCACCCTTCTTGGATGTTGGGACTTGTTAGGTGACTGCTCCTCATAAAGGTGCAGTTTCAGACATCTACGGCAAGGATGGTGGGGGCTAAGATGGATGACATGGGTGGGAAAAGGTGTTACCAGACTTCAGTGAGCACGTCTTTACATGTTATAGCTGACTATACAGACCGTCTTCTGGGCTGACTTTATTGCCAAAAATATTTGCGCTGTGACATCCCCACTCCACCTTATCCATCAGAAGGAAGCTTGGTGAATGCCTTCTGTAGTGCTTGTGTAGGGA